TGGTGTTCAGTAAGGTGTCTGGAAATGTTGTCGACGTGGACAGATTGCTCACTCAGCTATGGCAAGTAATGAGGATTAGCGACTAGACTATATCACGCGAAGATCGTTCTTTTCTTCGATGGCGCCATATGAATAATTTTTAAGCAATCTTTCATTCTATCTTTCAGTTTAAAAATGTTCGTGATATTGTACGTCCTTAACAAAATTCTTCAAAGGCCTAACATGCATTCACAGTCCAATGATAACGATTAACTTGTTTTACTCTACGGTTTTACCATATAACCTGTGGTAGTAAACTTTATCAGATTCATAATGTTAAAATATTGAGTTAGAAATTGTTTAAACTAAATATATGATGTGAGTAGTCTTCGTATGGTCAAGTGAACTGGCATAATATATATATATATAATATATATGATTATCTAGCAATAATGTAAAATCTCGCTGTATTTGTAATGTATTCAGTGTATTGGGGTTAGGTTGGGTATATCAAAATGGGTACTGTGTATGTGTACAGTGTAATGGTGTTCAGTAAGGTGCCTGAAAATGTGTACTTGTAATATGTACAGTGTACTTGTGTTCAGTAAAGTGTCTGGAAATGTGTATTGTGAATGTGTACAGTGTACTTGTGTTCAGTAAGGTGTCTGGAAATGTATACTTATAATGTGTACAGTGTACTGGTGTTCAGTAAGGTGTCTGAAAATGTGTACTTGTAATGTGTACAGTGTACTGGTGTTCAGTAAGGTGTCTGGAAATGTTTACTTGTAATGTGTACAGTGTACTTGTGTTCAGTAAGGTGAAATATATGCAACGTTGCATGTTTATGCGCCATGGTAGTAGGTCGATGCATTTCATTTTCTTTTATGTATTACATTTATGAATTCAATAAGAATTACACCAAAATTGTTATTTATACAAAATTTAGTAATTATAATTATGTCTGTTAACAAAGAATATCTATAATTCTCTTGTCTGCCGATATGTGTCTCTGCTGAATTTCAGTCTACAGCTTTCCTATTTGTTGTTGAAAAGTAGTTTGTGCTACATAGAAGCTAGATACATAACCGGTTGAAAAAATTGAATGTACAAGAGGGTCTCTAAAAATGTGGATACAAAATTGAACGTCGAAGAAAATTGTAGTGTTTCTAGACACAGTGGAGAGAGAACTTAACGTTGAAGAAAGTTGGTAGTGTTTCTAGACACAGTGGAGAGAGAACTGAACTTCGGAGAAGGTGGTAGTGCTTCTAGACACAGTGGAGAGAGAACTAAACGTTGAAGAAGGTGGTAGTTTATCTAGACACAGTGGAGAGAGAACTTAACGTTGAAGAAGGTGGTAGTGTATTTAGACACACGGAAGAGAACTGAACGTCAAAGAAAGCGGTAGTGTTTCTAGACACAGTGGAGAGAGAACTTAACGTTGAAGAAAGTTGTAGTGTTTCTAGACACAGAGGAGAGAAAATTAAACGTCAAAGGAAGTTGTAGTGTTTCTAGACACACGGAAGAGAACTGAACGTCAAAGAAGGTGGTAGTGTTTCTAGACACAGTGGAGAGAGAACTGAACGTCAAAGAAGGTGGTAGTGTATTTAGACACACGGAAGAGAAACTGAACTGAACGGAATACCATGTTTAAAGGTAAAAAACAAACAACTATATCATTCTTCTTTTCCGATGTGATTTTTTAGGGAGGGGGGATAATTTATTTTCGTATTTTCGCTTTTAATTTGATGATAAATATCGTTAGTCTGAACTACAGTTAGTCACTTACAAGTGTCGGACCAACCAGAGCGAGACATTGTTCTCGTTTGTTATAAAAAGAAATCCTTTCTCAAGAAAAGTGCATAAGTGTCCTTGGCTCGGTTATAACCGGAACAAGGACGTTAAGCTCCAAAACAGAAAGAAAAAGAAAAAATGCATAATAATAAATTGTTGATAACACACGTAGATGTTGATTAATCATGTGCAAGCATTAGGCGTTATTTACATGTATTTGAATATCTGTGATAAAGGATGGTCACAGCAAGTGAAAAAAAAATATTTAAACTATGAATTGGGAACAAACGAGATATGTCATGCGTGATACAGGATAAGATTTGTATCTAAAATGCAGAAATTTCCGAAATTTTCTGTACCAGTGGTTTAAAGCCACGTGTCTAGAAACTACTCAAAATCCATGTCGTGGTAATGAGGTAAAAACTAGTTTTTTGAAGTCAAAGCCCACAAAAGAATTTATTGCAAGTTATCAATTCACCATTTTCGTCATAAGTGTCCTTTTTTCTCTCAAAATATTTCTTTGCTTTAACAACAATTTGGTTGCGTTTCATAAGAAATACTACGTTTTGCCAACAACCACCAACAGATCTCTTCTGTGTCTACTATTCGTGACTACTGGGTTTTTCATTCTGTGCGCTATGTACAATTTCACCTCTGGAACATGTCATGGCAAAATTGAAGGTCCCATGTGCAACACCTTGTGGACAAGACGAAGAGACTAGTTTGATCCTTTGATACACATCAAACGAATCTCGGGGTCGCATAAGGGTATATTGTAATGGCTTTGAAGTTAGGTGTCGCTCCTTTATAATCTTCAGAAGGAACATTTCAGCCTGTGATTGGTCAGTATTTTTTCTTCTGGAACCAATCAAATTACTCCGCTTGTATCTTCAATTTTGCTTCGTTGTGTTCCAGGAGTGCAGAGAGCGAAAGTGATCGTAACCCCTCGAGTATCGAGGATGTTCAATAGAGGTTAAAGAGCCAGACCCACTCTAGATGTTTTTCATATTTTAATGACTGGAAATGTTGTTGTATACTAATAGATAATATATTAATAAAGACTTGTATAAAGTTTCGAACTTGAAATTGAAAAGGGTAACGGAGATATCGGTGCCGGAATTAGCCTCATTAATCAACACTATGATATGGATATTGGTGAGGAAAAGTCACGTGATACGTTCAGACGCGGTCAGAACCAAAACAAAAATGGAGAAAGAGGTGAGTAGTACGTCCATGTGACATCGCTTGTAAAGAGATTTTACCGATAAATGCAATCAATACTCTATATATCCTGTATGGAAATCATCTAACGTATGTATTGATCACATCTTTCAATGCTTAGATATGATACAAAAACGTGCAGATTACGAGAAAAACTACGATAAATTGCAAATGGGGGCTACGATACGGTAACGAACATATAGAACATCGCGAAATGGATCAACCTTAAACGAATATTTGATGAGAAAAGTATTTATGAATATGATTTTAGAGTGATACTACACGAGAGAGCAGGGATATTTACAGTTCTTTGCGCATGCGTCAGAGGTCAGGACTTCCCGCATAATTATGAATTAGCACTGAGTCGTTTCGAATTCTTTTTTAAAACTATTTATCACGTTAGATTGGTAGCGATTTACTTTAAAATTACGGTATTACAGGGTTAGTCAGAATTTTTGCTACCCGAAAAATAGAAAATAATGAACTTTTTTTATGTAAAATAATATCGGTCGAGGAGTGGGTTTGGCTCTTTAACACATGGCTTACATAAAACATGACATAGAGTACATCCATCAATTAGCACGTGAAGCTGTTCGTAACCGAGAATCACAAACAAAATTTGATTCAATAGGAAGGTAAGAATGTTATCTTCCTCTGGCTATAAAAAGGGCAACCCTGTATCCGATACATCATTCGATGGTGCTGGTCTTAATATATTTTGCGATTAATAATTTTTCCAAGTTCGTCGTCATAAGAACGCGTTTTCAAAACTATTGTCTAGTTAACCAGAATATCTCCTTTACAACTTTACAACCGGTGAAGTATGTATTTGATAACAGGGAATTTATATTCACATATATGTAAGTATGTGACAACATAATTTTACATTCACATGTATGTAATGTGTGTGATAACGGAATATTACATTATACAATTATGGACTTCGGTGAATATGATGTGATATGAACCTGAAAAATGATATTGACCGAGGCGAAGCCTGTGTGGTAACAGAATATTACATACACATATATGTAATGTATGTGATAACAGAATATTACATTCACATGTATGTAATGTGTGTGATAACATAATATTACATTCACATGTATGTAATGTATGTGATAACAGAATATTACATTCACATGTATGTAACGTGTGTGATAACAGAATATTACATTCACATGTATGTAACGTGTGTGATAACAGAATATTACATTCACATGTATTTCAATTTTCTTTCATTTTTTCTCTTTTTTTTATATTTCCTTTTTTACGCTTTCGTCGAAAGTTTTGATGTATAGGGATCTTTCTGAATGCTAATTCACAATTCAATGCATTACTAAACTACACTCCTTATCTGTTCTGACTCCTCTTTCTCCCATTATCATGGCAGTACGACTACACTTTAAAACGCTACCATAATTTTTTACAGTGATGTATTAAATTTGAATTTATTTATTTATTCAAGCATTTTATGTATTTACTTATTAAAGCATTTTATTTATAGATAAGTGTGTAATATTCATTATTGCGATTTTTCCTCACCGAAGTGCGAAACAAGCGGTTCATTGTTAGAACAATATAATCTTGTTTATTTTGTAAAGATGGGAAAAGTGCCAAACAGCACTAAAAGTTGATCATACGAAAACAAGTACGTTGACAAAACAGAAAGTATTAGTCATCCGAAATAATATCTCTTATTGTAGTAACTTTTTAAATAGATTATTTATGTCTAGTATTTGTCATTGTGATATAAATATAAATTTAGCCGAAGAGAAAATCACACGGCAGACACTGAACGTTTCGTCACGGTAGAGTGATTAACGACTCATGTTTACCTGTACACACCTGTCCGCTCTAGAATATGATCAGTATGGAAAGTGGAAGGTCAGAGTTCACGGTGAACATACATAGTATATTGACGGCTGCCATGTTGTGTATCTCTTACGTACTGATATTTTATATTTGATTTCGTATCGATCACCGAGGCACGTGCTTTACATATTAAGATGTGTTTGGAGTTTTTACGCATGTCAGATACTCAGAGTGCACGCAATGCCAAAAAACGCAAAAAGTCCGGAGGTTTTTTCCAGTTCCGTAAGTAAATTATATATATTCTGTGCAAGTTTACTATTATGTCCGATGGTAAACCAGCAAAGCGGAATGACTGATTTCTTTATTAAGTTTCATATTAACATTTTGAGGGTCGTGGGGAGGGTCGTATGTGTTGGAAGGGTCATGGAGGGGCAGGGAGAAGCGCGAGGATGGATGAGGGGAGGGATGTGTTGGGGTGCACGGATATGCGCGAGGACGGATGGGTGTGGGGTGTAGTGGGGCGCGGGGAGATGCGCCAGGACGGCGCCGGGATGGGTGTGGGGAGAGCGTGGGAAGGGTCGCAGGGAGATGCGCGAGTATGGATGGGGGGGGGGGGAGATGTGCCAGGACGGCACAGAGACGGGTGTGGATAGGGTATGGGGAGGAGCCTGAGGAGGTGTATGGAGAGCGGGATTGAAATGTATCAGCTTGTATTTTTATATCATTTCGACGTCACTGTCACAACTCATACGAACTTACAAGTGATTCTCATGTTAAACACAAAACGAAAATAGTGTCACTATCTGTTTGTTTTGTTTTCCGCTTAGTCGAACTCTGTTGAACGTAAAAATCCCAAGACAGCTATTCATAGGACACCCGGATAAGACAGCGTTACTTACACGTATTGTATTGGGGAGTTTTAAAACTCGCCTTTGTATACGTGTGTATTACATATATACATTGTATACAGTTTGTCGACTTAACTACTACACATTACATGTTCAAAACCCACTTGTCACGATAGTTCTTTATTTCATAACCTAGTTTTTGTGGTTTTTTAGATTACGCTTTTAACGAGTTATTTTGGTATGTATTATAGACAGAAGTGCAAGCTACTGACTGCAGTAGTTCCACAGTATTAAATCTACGTGACATCTTTATCACCAAGATAGTCAACGACTACCCGGTGAATGTCTATGTTACACTAGTTAACTCGTGTAGAGAGGTTCAAATTGCCACTATTCTTGGAAGTCCACCAGCTGTCATAGCAGACTTATTTCAGGACACCGATTGTCTTCTTGCCTCATTTGCAAAAGACTGTTGTATTTTTGCCGAAAAGGCCTCTTTACTAACATTTAACTAGTCTTTAGTCAGCATTAATTTTATGTCCTTGTAATTATCACTTCATTATCGTTTCTCTGCATCTTTCTCTTTCTTCATTATATTTTTAAATACTTTGTGTCATAATATGTAATTACATGTATCATCCTCATTTGTAACTCTTCAATTTTGGAGGAATAAAGAAATGAATGAATGAATGACGTCACGCGAATTCACACGTAAACAGGAAAAAAGAGAGAGAGAGAGGGAGAGAGTGAGAGGTGATTGAGAGAGAGAGAGAGAGAGAGGGAGAGAGAACATAACATCCTCATGACATCAGAAACAGCCTAAGAGACGAAAGAACAGTTCAATATTCAAGTTTGATAATTGGTTTTGTTTATAATTACTATGCTGGATGTTCGCACTGGGCACTTCTTACAGAGTCCAGATTGTGTTTTACATCCCCTTCCTAAAGGTTCCTATGTTATTTAAAGTTTAAACGACTGCAATTTTTTTAATTGAACAGGCGGCAAGTGATAAACCATAAAACCACTACCGTAACAGATGGCAGAAATGTTAGACCATCAATAGAGAAATTAATTAAAATACGTACGGTGGGCCTCCAGCCATACAACCATCAGTACTGTCTGTACTGGGGCGTAATCAGGTTTGATAGTGTCATTAGTCTGTTTGACAATATATTTTATATCTTATTTTTGATAATACGTCGCGGTCGAGAGTAACACTACCCTGGTAGAGATTTCTATTTCACGTTATCTTAATTAATTATAACCAAATTAACAGGTTTCCGGGTAACTTCGATTTAACGCAATATCTTACACTAGACAGGGATATTTTTAATTGTCAGAAAATGTTCTGTTAATTTTAATAGTAATACCTATGCCAGATATCTGCATTGTTCAAAAGCATGAGAATCGAAATATATTTCGACAGGAATGACAAATCCCACTTCAATATCAAATTTGTTGGTTTGGTTTATTGTCGTGTAAAGAGCCGTGGTCATTTTAAAGCAGGTCTTTTGTTGGTTGTTATTGGCTATCACACTGAATAACATGCGAAAGGCCCGTCTCATTCCATCTGAAGCAATTAGGGTCACGCGTCATACTCAAGGACACTATGACGTCAGCCCAAACTAACCGCCACCGGTTCTCTGGGGTTACACTGTCCGCCGCGCGAGCACCATAACCGACCGTGCTTATCTAATATGTAGAGGCCTTATCACGCCATATTCTTCTTTTTGTCACCTTGGAGACAAATCGGTTTTATCGTAAAATACAGATATCCTGGTCAAAAACAGATCTGGTTAAAAACAGATCTTCTGGTTAAATACAGATCTCCTGGTTAAATACAGATCTTCTGGTTAAATACAGATCTTCTGGTTAAATACAGATCTCCTGGTTAAATACAGATCTTCTAGTTAAATACAGATCTCCTGGTTAAATACAGATCTTCTAGTTAAATACAGATCTCCTGGTTAAATACAGATCTTCTGGTTAAATACAGATCTCCTGGTTAAATACAGATCTCCTGGTTAAATACAGATCTTCTAGTTAAATACAGATCTCCTGGTTAAATACAGATCTCCTGGTTAAATACAGATATCCTGGTCAAATACAGATCTGGTTAAAAACAGATCTCCTAGTTGAATACAGATCTTCTAGTTAAATACAGATCTCCTGGTTAAATACAGATCTCCTGGTTAAATACAGATCTTCTGGTTAAATACAGATCTCCTGGTTAAATACAGATCTTCTGGTTAAATACAGATCTCCTGGTTAAATACAGATCTTCTAGTTAAATACAGATCTCCTGGTAAAATACAGATCTCCTGGTTAAATACAGATCTCCTAGTTAAATACATATCTCCTGGTTAAATACAGATCTCCCGGTTAAATACAGATCTCCTGGTTAAATACAGATCTTCTAGTTAAATACAGATCTCCTGGTTAAATACAGATCTCCTGGTTAAATCAACGGTAAATCAACATCCCCTGGTGAAACAACATACCGTAGTAAAATCAACATCACGCGGCAAAATTAACATCCCCTGGCGAAATTAACATCACCTGGTGAAATTGACATCCTCTGATGAAATTAACATCACCTGGTGAAATTAACATCCCCTGAAATTAACATCCCCTGGTGAAATTAACATCCCCTGGTGAAATTGACATCCCCTGGTGAAATTAACATCCCCTGAAATTAACATCCCCTGGTGAAATTAACATCCCCTTGTGTAAATTAACATCATCTGATGAAATTAACATCCCCTGGTTAGATAAGAGGCTAGCTCGTTTTGTTAATGGCGTATATTAATTGTAAATAGTTTAGACATTTGGTTTATCCTATTTATTCAAATAGTACATATTAATTTCGTTTAAACGAATTGAAGGTGTTTCGTTAGGTAAGGGAGGCAACAATTGCAGACGTATGATACAAAAACAAATATCACTGTGTCATACATTGATAAGAATCATGGTCTCTCAAATTCGTTTCGAAAAACCTGTCAACACCATAGTTTGACATGCTTTCAATAATAAACAGAGACTCACTTGTGAGTGTTTCCATTATATCAAAAAATATGAAACGTTTCTTAGCAACTTTCATTTACGGAATCTAAAACTAAATTTATTTTAAAAAATAGGGACAAGTTTCACAAATCTCAACATATCAGTGGAAACGAAGGTATATTAACATTGAACACTTTTTTTCAAACATTATAGAAGACAGCATTCTAGAAGTCTCACTCCATATCTATTTCTTTCGTGACGTCACGATGCATGTGACAGTATAACATTTTGATGTCAGAATGGAATGATAATAGATAATACGACAGATATGTACACTGTGATGTGTGTTATTACACTGATAACACGACAGAGATGTACACTGTGTTATTACACTGATAACACGATAGATATGTACACTGTGATGTGTGTTATAACACTGATAACACGACAGAGATATACACTGTGTTATTACACTGATAACACGATAGATATGTACACTGTGATGTGTGTTATTACACTGATACCACGACAGATATGTACACTTTGATGTGTGTTATTACAATGATAACACGACAGATATGTACACTGTGTTATTACACTGATAACACGATAGATATGTACACTGTGATGTGTGTGATGTGTGTTATATGTACACTGTGATGTGTGTTAACACTGATAACAGAGATATACACTGTGTTATTACACTGATAACACGATAGATATGTACACTGTGATGTGTGTTATTACACTGATACCACGACAGATATGTACACTTTGATGTGTGTTATTACACTGATAACACGATAGATATGTACACTGTGATGTGTGTTATTACACTGATAACACGACAGAAATGTACACTGTGATGTGTGTTATTACACTGATAACACGACAGATATGTACACTGTGCTGTGTGCTATTACACTGATAACACGACAGATATGTACACTGTGCTGTGTGTTATTACAATGATAACACGACAGATATGTACACTGTGTTATTACACTGATAACACGACAGATATGTACACTGTGCTGTGTGTTATTACAATGATAACACGACAGATATGTACACGGTGTTATTACACTGATAACACGACAGATATGTACACGGTGTTATTACGCTGATAACACGACAGATATGTACACTGTGATGTGTGTTATTACACTGATAAAACGACAGATATGTACACTGTGATGTGTGTTATTACACTGATAACACGACAGATATGTACACTGTGTTATTACACTGATAACACGACAGATATGTACACTGTGTTATTACACTGATAACACGATAGATATGTACACTGTGATGTGTGTTATAACACTGATAACACGACA